ATAAGAGCGTAATAGCCTGCCTGTTCAAATATGCAGGCAAAAATGTTGACGCCCTTATCACTTCCAGCTCCGTATGTGGCGAATCAAACTTGCGCTGACTCGGCCGCACCTGGATTTGCTTCTCCCGGACATACGGAGACATGCATAAAACACCCTTGTATCCACCAAGACGGAATTGGACAGCAGAAGGAATGCCTTTTAAATCAAGAACTTCGGCAATTTGTTGGCATAGCGCTCGTGAGATCTTGCCACAACCATCGGAGAAATTGTATCCGTTTCTCATAATGTCATCGATGGGGTGAATATCGTCCACAGGTAGATGAGTCACGGCGCGAGTACTTGAAAAGCATTGTCCCATGCGTGCAGCGTATTTTGCTACTACTTTGATGTTACTTAAATTCCCCATCCATTTGCGTATGTCATCAGCGCTTAGTTTCTCTGTAGGGGCAAAGAACCAGCAAGAACGATCTCGTAGCTGGCTTGAAGAGAAGGCCAAAAATTCATACTTCCTATTTCCAATCTGAATCCCGTTCACGAGAGTACGGTGAACCCGATTGAAGACTGAGACATGGTTATCTCCATTGCCCGATGGAAGGCTTCCATTCTCGTCATTGAATTGGACCCTCAGGAAACGTTCCTTGTGGTCTTTAAAATACCTTATGGTTCTATTGCTAGTTTCCATAGTTGGCGGCAATATATACATTTTAGAAGGGGTGATAACAACTTTTCGCATCATGACACAGTACGAGGGTACCGTCTCTTGCCGATTGTCACCGCCTCGAATAAGAGACTTCAAGTCAGAAAGAGGATCATAAATTCTCTGTTTACGCTGATGGAATTTATCTAAAATGGTAAGAGCTGTCTCTTTCTTTTGTCGAGCAAGCAACCGCATGAATTCGTCATTGAGATTGTAATCATGTAAGTAGCCATGCGTAATATTACATTCCAACATATAAAGCACATCAAAGTCCAGCATTGACCTATCAACATATTTTCTCAGGTTGCTTCCATCAACCGTCGCTATGTGTTTGGAAAACATGGCTTCCCTTGATACAAGATTGTATTCAGCAGCTTTGAACAACATGCCTTTAAGCTTGTCGACTCCTCTATGCTTGTCAAGAATGAACGTAATCCTATACGCGTACCATCTTCCAAGCTCTTCGCCTGTCGCTTTTGGATATGAAGGCATCGTCGGCTGTTGTATCTCTTCGTCGCTAGGCTTCCCAATCCGGAGGGCCGTCATCCTCATCCAACACTCCATCGAATTCCATTCAAATTGATTTCTCGTCTCAAGTTTCTCGTTCAGGAAGGATAGTTTTGGCGGAAATTTGGTTCGTATTGTAGTTACCGCACGCGATTGATCGTTCTGTGTATCGAGTTCTGTATGGAACTCACCCTCGACGTCGTTGAAATAAGTTTCCAATCGGAACCTATACAGTATGTCTTACTCCCATTTCCTTTACTGAAACCAAATTCGATTTCAAAACTGCGTCTTGCATAATTCAGGTTAAATGTTATGTCGTTGTCAGTTTTCCATTCTCTAGCAAAGGTGTCCAAAGACTTCGCCAATAAGAAATCTTGATTTCTGTGTTCTCTTGAGAAGTTCGGCTGGTCATTATAACCTCTACCCGCAGTTGCTTTCCATGAAATCGGATAGTCTGTCTCCAAAACTCCGTTTCTGGCGGAGGTCTTTAGTAACGAGAAAATAGTATAAATATATTGTTATATATCATTGTTAGATTGTAAACTTTTGGCCGCTGCTGGCGACCATCGCATCCATTACTGCGGCGGGGATAACTGTTGCTGTTCGTAATTATTTTGACGACAATTTTGTCTGTTCCCGTTCCCTCTGCTGTGGTTGCTTGGCATCATCCTGGTTATATTATTCCAATAGCAAGTTCGAACTGAGGTTTATGCTTTAGCGTTATCGCTTCTGGTATTAAGCTAAGGCGACGGTCGTGTTGACAAAACGCGCCAATGTTGTTGGGGAAATCATAAGGCGGTTTGGTTTGAAGTAAAACATAGAATGTATCGACTTTTCTTGGTAACGCTGACAATATTTTTTGGATATGTGATGTACAGCCTAAGAGTTTTAGACAAAGCGAACTCCACCATAATTTTGGTCTTCATCATATAATCAACTGTTGGTGAAACCACGGATTTCCAAATAAGGAGCACACAGAAAAAGGGGGCGTTCTTATCAGTTCTCCCTACCAAATTTAGATTACTATCGAGATAATTCTTGGCAAAAAGTTATTAATATCATCTTGAAATGCTGGGCCCTCAGCACGGCTACCTCAAGCCACAAAGCGGCTGACTGAACTTCCCTGTCTGACAAACCACCACCTCTTCGTAACACCTCTTCGACGCCGTAACACGCACTATAACGCGGTTCACTCATACCGAGCCCGCCCAAAGAAAAGCAAACAATAATTTGCAATCCGTTTTGTTTGAACGCGCGCCACGCAGAGAAGACCTCTTGATCAAGCAAGAGCAACTCGAACAACACCTCCATCACCATTACTACTGACGACTCTCACGCACTCTCTTGGTATCTGGGATAGATCAATTACCTTCGATATCTCAAACACCCTCTTTACGCAAACACCCTCGATATCTCAAACGCCCTCGTTAGTTCCATCACCCTCGGCAACTCACGGAATTCAGAATTATACAAGACTTGCTGGACAACAAACCGAGACAGGGCAAAAAACGGACTCAACGAGAGTATCAGACACAAACACGAGAATCGATTCATCAATTGGCCTTTACTACCTCCAAAAAGACTTTGTAACACGTTTCCAGAGTTTCACATCTTGTATATATTGTTTGTGATTAGGAATGTTATCTCGATTTTTCGAGATTTCCGTTCTCGCACCTCTATTCTTGCGTGCACTGTCTCCGTGCTCTTACCCGCCACTCGCATTCTTCCACGTATGAGAAGAATTTGAAAGGGTAACTATTAGTATTTATAAGATGTGTTTGGTTATATATATCACTATCTCTTACAATTCTCTCCGCATAGACATACCTGATGAATGCTTTGTAAATATATGGATACGTTCTTGATTTGGCCTTGTTATCAAAAAGGTATGCTCATTTCTATTTGCCAGTGCTAAGGAGATAGAACGAAAATTAAATCTTCTCTGCTTTCTAGTAAACCACCACAAACGAGGAAGATCGACCAGCACGACACAGATGAAGCATGCGATATGAAATTCCTTCTAACTTTACAGTTAGATGTGTTCATCCATGTGGGCAGCCAACGAGTGCCATTGGAAACGATTCGAAAGGGATTGCTGGTATATTCTACGAATGTCGTCGTCAATCGGCCCTAGCCGGCTCATTGGACAAACCCAGACGCGCCGCTCGGTCATTTCATCGAAAGTGGAAGAAACACCAAAATTTACCCATCGCCAGAGAACGTTTTGCATGCATGTTGTCTCGGTGCTTATATGATTTGGACAAATCATATCGTCGTTTAGATCAACGGTTGCTGCGCCGCGAGGATATTATTGAGGACTATTAAAAGACTCTAATGAAGCCGGATCAATCACAAGACACCCATTCAATGTCAGACAGTTTTGACAACGCGACCGACTTTTCATCCTCAGAGTCCACTTCCTTCTCGCACGCCCCCTCTGTTTCCATATCCTCCCTCTCGTCTCCCCTCTCATCCCCTTCAGCTTTGTCCTCTTGTATTTCTCATACTACGCGCTCAACCCCGTCAAATTCTCAAATTGGACCCTCGAGACTCCTCCCGTTCGAGTGGGAAGACAAGTTGATCGTCTATTGGAGGTGAATGCTGTGTTCAGATGGTCGGCGGATAATCTTAAGAATAATAATCTTGTCAGGACTATCGAGCAACGTTGGAAACCAAACAAATTGGGATCGAGCCTCACACAGACCGGTATTACGGATATGTTGAGTGTGCACGATGAGGTTGGTTTTGTGAATGAAAATAGGGAAACGAAACGATGATTGAAAATACGCTTATGCAAAGAACAGAACATGAGAATTTATGCTAACAATGATACATGATTTCTTCGTTATCAGGTTACAAATCGGACTATTATATCTACTGCATGTAGGACTCGGAGTGAGTCATAATTATGGTAATGATGCTAATAGTGACGGTAAAGAATAAACAGGATGAATTGTCATGGATACCAAAGATGCGTAAAGATTTTAAAGAAGGCTCGACCATTTCACATTGAATTGGGAAGATCGGAACTTGTATAAAGGTCGACGGTCTTTCATGAAAAGGCAGAGATCTACGACCAGCGTCCCTATTAAATAACTTGATTAAAGCTCTCGAGATTGTAAATCTCTTTTCCTGACTTGGAAAAAACCATCCCATCTAACGACTGATACAGTCCCCGGCAAAAGTAATGGTCAGTTTTTGGGATGTAATGATGCAAAGGCTACGAAATGAACGTCATATCGAGGGCAATCCTCTTATGCCCCGATTTAATGAATATATGAAAAGGGATTGGATATCCAAACGTCATCGTCGTCATACATGGATCGTTACGAATTCCATTTCCACGACGGGTAACTGGGTCAGATGGACAGTTTGACAAATAAAGAATTGTTAATTAATAAAGCCAAACATTATGCTACAAATTATATTAATTATTTCATATTTGGTATGACCTTCTTCAGCTACGATACATGCTTGAATTCGTGTTTTTATACCGCATCTTTTTCAAATTCTCAATTGCATTCCAATTGTAATGCGAGTAATCATGTGCCAGTTTAGACGGTTGGCCTTCGCATGCTGGATTAAAATAGACACTAAAACCAGATTAGTAAGGACTAACTTTTAACTCAGCAATTTGTCTTCCTGTATAGTAATAGTCCTCAATTCTTATGAATTCCAGGGGGATACTTTTGTGAGTGACCTGCTTGATGAATGTTGGAATTGTCTTGTCGAAGAAAGAAAACATGACCCAGTTTCGTTTTTAAATTCTTTTACATTATAGACGTTTTTCTTCCAAACGAGGTCACAGTTTGTTTGGTGATGCCATTTTAAACTATTGTTAGAAAGTAATAATATAATAAGTTAAAAATATCACCAGAATGTGTGCCAGGTTTAATGGACAGGAAGGATGATCATGACGAGATGGCGCGGACATATCAGTAAGCATGCGAATTCTTCAGGCTTTAAATTTTATACTGGAACGGGTAGAGTTCATGTGGCTAAAGACGCGTTTATTAAGTAAGGTAGGAAATTTACATGACCACTGGAGCGTTGTGCATTATATGTTTATTAGTAATTTTGCTGTTCCTGTTCAGTTGCGATGAGAACATGTTGCTTCATATAGTTGAAAAGCCACTCTTCCCGTGCCTGCCTACATCGTGTTATTGGATTACTTATATTGCCTAATTTTAATTTACAGTCAAACAAGTATGTAATTGCACTCGTTAACTTCATCAACCAGCTCTGGGCATTAAGAATCACGTAATTCATAGTCACATTATTACAGTATTAACAGACTATTATCTGAACTAACTATCGTCTCTCGTGAAAAACAATTATTCATCTGGCGTTTTTTGTTGAATTTCCTTTCATAGTAATAGCGACCAGCCAAATTTATTGATTCTCAAAAATAGCCTCTAGAAATGTTAACACAACTCTACGGTGACACCCCTCTCGAACAAACACGACTTGTTACAGGTAAAGGGCAAGATAGAAAAACATTCAAGGCCATACTTACATTTTATCTACAAGATTAATTGCCGCATTATCAAAAGAATAGATTAGGAGATTACATTTTTGGGAAGCCAAACATCGAGCTAGTGCTGTTAAGACTAAATAAAAGTAATTAATCGAGATTGTTCCAAAAGATATCACCACAACGTTTGAGCACCGGTTTCACTAAACTTCGATTGACTCTCTTTAAATAACATTTATCATGGAACAGATTTGATACATAGTAATTCCCTTTATTATTTTATGAGTAAAAAACAAGAAAATGAATAGTTTCTATCACGATTATGCAAGACTTCCCGCTATGGAAAACGTTATGTAATAAAATCCGATGAAGTAAAATGAAGCCCAATTATGGGCCGTAATAATAACTGTTACAAATTGACTATTTCTTATCTTTTTATACCTGCAACTTGAATCAAAATGATTCCCCTACATCTTATCTACCTTCCCTAACTTTATTCTGAACTGAAATCTGGTTACGGCGAGACACAGCGCGTTACTTTTTTTCAGCTCCTGGCAGTAACGGAAATTATGATAAGTGTTGGGGGCCTATACGTAATTGCTGGAGTCGAATTTATATCGCCAAGGAAAGTAAACGCCGTGGACGGTGGAAGATAATTCGGTAGAAGGCCACGGTCTCGCAAATGTATTATGGCTGAATTGCGTCTGCAAATTATACTAGAACGTGTTCAACAAAGGAATCCCGCGTAGATTAATTTCGAGAACCATCAGTAATAGTCCCTTCGGCTTTTCTCTTTTTATTACA